AGAGAGAGAGAGAGAGAGAGAGAGAGAGAGAGAGAGAGAGAGAGAGAGAGAGAGAGAGGGAGGGAGACGAATGAAAGTTTTACTATATAGATGACAGTGGTCAGAGTCAGGCGGAATAATTAGTAATTAGGCCTTGAGGTTTGGGTAGACCCAGAGACAGTCTCAGACTGGTGGAAAATGAAACGTCAAGTATCTAAGGGACGTTACCTTAAAATTTTTTAAATAATAAGGGAAAGCACTCTCAAGCAAATCGAACAGAGTCACTGTTGCTACTACACGCGCTGGCAGCCAGTGGCAGAAGAAGTTCCACAATCTCGTCTCAGATCGGCCCACAAGAGTTTCTTTCTATTTCGACGAGTCGTGCTCTTGGCAGTTCTTGCTTTTTATGACGAATGACAAGAGTGAGTTGAATGGAAGTTTTTTGTAAAAGACATCTAGATCTAGACTCTAGATATAGATTTAGATCGTGATCATAGATTCTCGGCCTTTTGGCTACGATTAGTAAGATCAAAGGCCGAAGATAAAACACCAGATTCTGGCTAGAATTCTAGATCTACTAGATCTAGATCTAGATCTAGATCTAGATCTATAATCTAGATAGATCTAGATCTAGATCTAGATTCTAGACTGACTCTAGTCTAGTGACGATCTCTTTTTATTTTTGTTATGACTATGACACTGTAAAGGTGACATATTAAATGCACACACATGTCTTGGGGCTTCACTCACTGAGACTGAAAGTCTGCCAACAGAGAACCAATCCTCTGGGTGATGTTTTGACAAGGTCTTAACTTCTCAGGCTACAACTTGAGGGGATTACTCTGAAGAACTCCTTTCATTCAGAACTGTTGTTGTTTCCACAATCATTTGCCCTCAATAGTAATAGTACTGCTTATAGAAGCTTAGCCTGTATCCGTAATGTATATCTTCTTCTTGACAAAACATTGGCGACTGTGCGTAAGACTGAAACCGAGAGGCATTGTTGTTGGCTGACCATGTCCATATTCATCGATCTGTCCCATGGTAGATCTAATCTAGTGTACTCTTAAAAAAGACTTGGCAGGTAGGACTTTTATTATTCATAAAATTTCTCATGGGGAATGTGAAGAAAAGACCTTTAGATCTGTCTAAATTCATGTTAGGCCTGTTCTAGCTAGATCTAGATCTAATCTAGATCTAGACGTCTAGATCGAGATCTGGCTTGTCCAACACAAAAACATCTAGATCTAGATATCTAGAAATCTATATCTAGATTCTAGATCTAGAATCTAGTTTTTTTAATGAATAAATTTTAAAATTCCATTTTGACTCTTGAGGTTCTAGGCTAGATATCTAGATCTAGATCTAGATCATCTAGATTTTAGATCTAGAGATCTAGATTCTACATGACAATTCTGAATTTGTCTTTTGAAGCAATTTTTTTCGACTTCTTAAATTGATGTGAAACGGCACTAGATCTAGATCTAGATTTCTAGATCTAGATCTAGATCTAGAAATCTATTAATAATAATTGATTCTCTGTGGTACAGGTGGCCTTTTTTTGAACGTCCATCTGAGGTTGAAAATAACATGATAGATCTATCTGTGTACTAGATCTATACTCATAGATACTTTCAGTAGGGTAGAGGGTGCATTTTCGACACCCTTTCCGGCAGGTCTGAGACTGCTGCTGTGTTCATTGGTCTGTGTAGTTGGATAAAATCAATTGAGCGGCGAGGTTCTGTCACCAGATGGTGAAGAAACCTCTGAGAAACTGTTTGTTGTATATAAAACAAGTGAATGTGCCTGCCAAGTTGATTGTAACCCTCTCTTAAAGTGTGTGGGGTGCGTAATTCAAAATTTCGACACCCCTTGTTCTAATTCCGACACCCCTGTGAGGGGAACTTCGACACCGGTTGTTCCAATTACGACACCACTGTGGGGAACTTCGACATTGCTTGGGGGGAAATGCGACACGCAAGGCCCGGACCGGCCCAGTGCTGTAGTTAGGCTTAGGCCTAGGCTAGGCCTAGGCCTAGGCTTGGGTCCAGGAGGTCATGGGTTCGATCCTCGGCATTTCAGTATTAGCATTTCTTTTCTGCTTGACACACGGCATTAATTTCATTAAAGGAAAAGTAGTTGGTCTGTCGTTTGGCTAGTATACACTGACTGAGTGAGGCAAACATATTGCCCTGTCCTTTCACCTGATTGTGGTTTCGCTGCATCATCAAATCTCCACAATATTAGTATCACTACAATTATCATCATTAACATCACCATCAGCGACAGCAGCATCACTGACCTCAACATCAGTAACAGATGCAAGAACTGAATTAGTATTAGTTCATTATCATGATCATCACCAGCACCAGCATTGCCCTACCATCTTCATCATCACCATCACCATCACCATCATGTCATCATCTTTATCACCACCGCTACCACCAGCATCATCATTACTAGGCCTATCACCCGCAT